GGGGGATAGGGAGGTTGTGGCCCCGCCCCCTGTCACACACAGAGCCGCAGGGCGATCAGGAGGTTTGAGCGCTGCCCCCGTCACGCTGATCCCAGTTCCAGGAGGCCTCGCAGCACCGCTGATCCCGGTGCTGGGAGGGATATCTTTGTTTACCTTCTGTATTTGATACCATGTTGCAGTCCGGCTGGCTGAAGCTCCACTGAGTAAAGCAGGTTTCTGGGGTATTTTTAGCTTCTTTATTCGCAACATAGTTGCTTAGAGTTGCAGCTGAGAGGCAGGCAAGTCAGGCAGGGAATGTTGGAGTCCTCCATCACTGAAGCAAGCAAGCCTCATGTTCGCTTCCAGCTGCCTGGCTGCCAGCTGCCATCTTGGCTGGCAGTTAATTTGCATATTGCCCTGATTAGCCAATGGGAAGTGTAGCTAGCGGTCGTATGCTAATTACCATGTTTCTCTCTTATTAGATAGGATTAGTCACAATAGAACATGTGAAGCATAAGGAAGTTGCAGGGTTGGGTATCAGCATTTCCGGGTCACAGTTGACTGAAGACAGATTTCTTTTTTTTTTTAAATATATTTTATTGATTTTTTACAGAGATAAAGGGAGAGGGATAGAGAGTCAGAAACATCGGTGAACCCTCAGTCCACAGGCTGACGCTATCCACTGAGCCAAACCGGTCAGGGATGAAGACAGATTTCTTAATTTTTACTTTTCTTTTTTTGAAGCTTTCTGAACAGAAATTTATTGCTAGCTCTTTTCAGAGGACAGAAGAAAATGCTCTAGGTGACTGAATTTTTTTTATCTTTGCCTTTCTTCATTAATGGATTTATTGAGGCCTATAAAAAAAAACTCACCTTCCCACCCTATCCAGTTTGGCACAGTGGATAGAGCATCAGCCTGTGGACCAAAAGGCCCCAGATTCCATTCCAGGTCAAGAGCGTGTACATTGGTTGCACGCTACTCCCAGACTGGGGACCTAGTTGGGACTCATGCAGGAAGCAACCAATTGATATGTTTCTCTCACATTGATATTCCCCTCTGTCTTTCCCTCTCTCTAAAAATCAATGGAAAAATATCTATTGGTGAGGATTAAAAAAAAACAACCCACCTCCATTCATCAGGACGGTTTGTGTGTATAGAATGCATGGGTAACTGAATGCACAATTACAAAACAGTGGGGGGAAAGTAGGTTAACAGTTCTGAGTATGCCAAACAGTTTATTCTGGTATTATTATCTATTAATTATTGTATTATTTTTCATATGAACAACAGAAAACCTAATTTTGCCCCAGTTTGTTTTTACTAGGCATGTAATCAAGTGTATATGGAAATAAAATCCCATTAGCTCCACAGATGCAACCTATAAATTGAAAATGAGCAGAAAGACTAATATTTCTTCCATATGTGGATGAAAATGGGCCATATACTAAACCTGTCAAGCTCAGAGGAGGCCTGCTTGGAGTCCTTACAAAATCAGAGACCTAAAGTAACCACAAGGATGGTCTGAAATTAAAACTCTTCAACTAAAAGCAGTTCATGGTGGTAGTCATGTCCTAGGCTAGAATCTTCCCTGACAAAGGCCAGTCTTTCCTGCCCTAACCGGTTTGGCTCAGTGGATAGAGTGTCGGCCTGCAGACTGAGGGGTCCCGGGTTCGATTCAGGTCAGGGACGTGTGCCTTGGTTGCGGGCACATCCCTGGTGGGGGGTGTGCAGGAGGCAGCTGATCGATGTTTCTCTCTCATCGATGTTTCTGACTCTCCCTCTCCCGTCCTCTCTGTAAAAAAAAATCAATAAAAATATATTTTAAAAGTCAGTCTTTCCCTTAACTGAGCCTATTTTTATCATTTTGCATCTATAATTGCATACCTTTGGAATGTCAAAGTAATACCATTTTTCTATGTCTCTCAAAGCACAGATATCACACCAGAGCAAAGCCCACACATCCCTCATTGTTGATTGACTTAATTGTTGACTGTTAATTATTCCATACCCACTTATGTAAATAAGTATGGGTTTGTCATTTCACTTTTTATCCAACCCTAGAGGTACCCCCCCTGCTTTTTCCCACCTCCCTAATCTATTACCAGTGGATTTCATGTAACCCACTTATATCTTTCCTTCCTATATAATAAAAGCCTAATATGCTATGTGTCCAGTTGTCCGGTCAGCCATTCAACCAATCAAAGCGTAATATGCTAATGATATATGCTAAGGCTGCTCAACTGCTGCTATGACATGCACTGACCACCATGGGGCAGTCGACTGGTCGACCAGTTGCTATGACGTGAACTGACCACCATGGGGCAGATAGTTCACTGGTCGACCAGTTGCTATTACGTGCACTGACCACCAGGGAGCAGTTGCTCTGACTTGTAAGTTAGCTTGCTGCTGGGGTCCAGCTGATCGGGACTGAGCGAGACAGGCCAGACATGCCCTGGAGCCCTCCTACGGTCCCTCCCCAGCTGGCCAGCCTCCTGCATCCCTCCCTGGCCCCAATTGTGCATCAGTAGGGTCCATCTGCCTGGCCTGTACCCTCTTGCAATCCGGGCTGAGGGACTCCCCCTCCCCCCGCCTCCAAGTGCATGAATTTCGTGTACTGGGCCTCTAGTTTGATTATAATGTATAAAATAAAGTGCAGAACTGCCATTTTCTAGAGCATTTTCTCAATCTGTTTAGAGTTTGCTTTCCGGCAGAGGTCATCAGTTTGGCTCTAATAAACTCAAAAATTCTCTGCAGGTTTGAATGTGTGTTACCTTGACACGTATCTAAAGGACATCCTTCCATTACACAGCATGGAGTTGGTACAGGAATCCCTGACATTTCACGATGTGGCCGTGGACTTCAGCTGGGAGGAGTGGCAGCTCCTGGGCCCCGAGCAGAAGGACCTGTACAGGGACGTGATGTTGGAGACCTACAGCCACCTGGTGTCACTGGGTGAGGACAGCTCCCCTGTGTCACTCAAAAGGAGCCCTGATAGTGGACTTTCCCCCCTCAGCTGCTTAACTCTTTAGTAGAACAGTGGTTCTCAACCTTCCTAATGCCGTGACCCTTTAATACAGTTCCTCATGTTGTGGTGACCCCCAATTTCATTGTTACAAATTGAACATAATGAAAGCATAGTGATTCATCACAAAAACAATATGTAATTATATATGTGTTTTCCGATGGTCTTAGGCGACCCCTTGTGAAAGGGTCGTTCGACCTTCAAAGGGGTTGCGACCCACAGGTTGAGAACTGCTGCTTTAGAATGACTACAGTTCTCTGAAATGGTAGAATCTCAGATCCTTTTCTTGTGCCAGACAAGAGGGTATAATGTCTCCTCTCCTGAGAGAAAAGTCTTTGTGTTACAGATGTGAAACCTGGTCATTCCCTGCAACATAGCATTCTCCCTTGACAGACCCCCAACTCAATTTAGTATGTCTAAGTCTTCTTTTGTTTTTCATGAGCAGGGTATCACGTCAGCAAACCAGACACACTCTTCAAGTTGGAACGAGAGGAAGAACCGTGGGCAGTACAGCGTGGACTCCACTGTCTAGTCTCTCCAGGTGAGGGGGTGAGAACCAGCAAGGCGGGCAGCAGGAAAGTCACATTCTAGTCATGCAGCATCAGAGCTGTGACAGTGAATGAGGAAACTCAAACCACCCCTCCATGTATGAGAATGCTTTTTCTTTGTAGATGTTTAGGGGAAATTATACCTTTTGTCTCTTTTGTCTCTCCTGAGCTCTGACCCCTGTTTATTTTATTTACATCTTGTTTGTGTGTTTTTTAAAACATATTGTTATTTATTTCAGAGGGGAAGGAAGAGGGAGCGAGAGAGAGAAACGTCAGTGATGAGAGAGAATCATTGATCGGCTGCCTCCTGCACACTCCCTATTGGGGATCAAGCCCACAACCTGGGCATGTGCACTTGACTGAAACGAACCCAGGACCCTTCAGGGCTACATCTTGTTTTTATTTGCAGAGTTTTCTTCTCCATAAGATTCTCAGATCTTCTTTGTCCACCGTTACAGTGTCTCTACCTGTGTTATCACTTCTCTTGCTATAAAATTCCACTTTCCAGACCTTTCTGGAAAGACAGAACTTTGAATTCATCGCTTCTTTCTTTCTACTGGGCCTTCGTACCCTGTTAGAAAATAGTGATTTCCCTCCTTAGCATCCACCCCACCTTGGATGCTGGGCCCCCATGATAAACTGCATTTATGTAATTCTTTGCTCGTCTCCCTCCAAGGCTCTTCATACTCACTTCTCATCACTCTTTAACGTTTTCCCTATTCCCATGAATATTTCCCTCTCTCTGTTCTGTGAAATGGACCCCCAGATTTACTTCTCCCTCAATATTGTCTAATGTAGCAGTCGCCAACCAGTGGTCCGTGAGGTCCGAAAAGTTGGTGACCGCTGGTCTAATGTACACTTTCTTCTGATGTATTTTACTCATCATCATGACAGCTGGCCTCTGACTTCTCATTTTGTGTGTGAGAGCAGGAATCATCTTTTTAAGTTATAGTTTCTCTTTCTGCACTATATATTTTAAATGCTATTCAGCCTGGCATCCCTACATGCTGAGCTCTCTTCTTAAACGTCTCTACTGTCTTACTTAATGAATGAGAAAAGATTTTTTCACATGCTACATGTACAGTTCCAGCCAAAACTAAGTTATAATTTATTTCGGCTTCAAATCACATTCTTCCTAGTTTTCCTAATTCAGATTTTTCTTCATTTTTAGATGTTATTAGTGCATTTATTTGCCAGTGGCTTTTGTTTTCACATCATATTTTTAATGCTTTTACTTAGACTTAATTCACATACCATACAACTTACCCATTTAAATGATATAGTTAATTTTTTTTTAGTATATTCATATAGTATTGCAACCATCACCACAGTGAATTTTGGAAAACTTTATATGTACATATTTTCATTGTGGCCTTAATTCCTATAGCTTTGTATTTCATTTCTAAATTAGAAAGGGTGAATCCTTCAGTTCTGTTCTTCTCTTTCAAGATAGTTTTGACTTTTGGATCCTTTAATTTCCCCCTTGAATTTTAGAATCAGATTATGAATTTCTGGGGAGAAAAAAAACCTAGCTTGGTTTTTTATAGGGATTACACTAAATCTGTATCTCAATTGGGTAGGGATTCCATCTTAACCATGACATACATCCTAGTCCAGAATCATTGGGTGCTTTTCTTTCCTTTCTTTCTTTTTTTTAAATTTCTTTATTGGTTAGGGTATTACAAATGTGTCTTCATCCTCCCATTTTCCCCCAACCTCCCCCACCCCCACTCATGCTCTCATCCTCCTGTTGTCCGTGTCCATTGGTTTGGCTTATATGCATGCATACAAGTCCTTTGGTTGATCTCTTCCCCTTACCCCTACCCTCGCCTACTTTCCCTCTGGGGATTGATAGTCTGATCGCTGTTTCTCTCATTGGGTGCTTTTCTATCTAAATTGGTCTTTAATTTTTTCCCGCACAACATTTTATAAGCTTCAAAATAGACATTTTACACTTTCCTTACATTTCTTTGTAAGTGAGATATTCCTTTTTATGATATAATGAATGTAATTGTTTTCTGGTTTGCATTTTCCAATTGTATATTGCTAGGATATAAAAATAAAATTGATTATTTTCCCATCATATTCTGATGACACTTGGCCTAGGTAACCAAGTTTCCTGTCATATGAAATTACAGTTTCTCTTTCAGTGATCTCTGTGATACGCTATCGTGTTGCTTAGAGAGTTTCTGTCCTCTTCCTAAACACTCTTTAGTGTTTTCCATACCTGTGATTGCCTCCTACAATTGAGGTAATTGTTGTATTTTAAAAAAACTTGTATTTTGATAGCCTAATATTTTTAAAGCTAACAGCAGTACAAAAGAAACTTAAATAAATAGACACCATTATTTTGTTCTCCATAGAAGTACTATATAATAAATAATAAACATATCCTAGGGTAAAAATTGCTATATGGAAAATTAATATAGCCAGTGGAACACTGTGGGTGTTTATCCTGGAACTGTGTTTTTAGGAGTGGGAATGGCTCTTTGATAAGCTGCCTTTGAGCACACAGATGAGGGATCTGAGCCAGCTTCCTGGACCTTTTAAAATGTGAAACAATGGGAAGTTCAAAGAACTGGATCTGGAATGTGAGGAACTGGATCACTTTGCCTGTAATGTAGGAGGGAGACATTATCATGGAGGGAAGTGTACTGTTATACATATGGTTGCAATTTGTGACAGGAAAACAATACAGATTAAAGTTACTAAAGATAAAAGGTATATAGGAAAACATTCAGGAGTCACATGAAACATGCTACATTGTTGGAACTAATCATGTTTCTAAAGTTAAGAGACAAGAAGCAGAAATAGCAGAGGTGCTCTCCTATTAACCTTAAAGCAAACTGCCATGTTGTGGAGAGGGTCACCTTTCAGGACACAGCATGCCATCTCTGGGAGGTGACAGCCTCAGTCCCACAACCACAGGAACTAAATTCTGCTCACCATCAGTGAACTTGGAAGGGGGCCCAGTGCCAGATCAGATCGCAGATCTGACTGACATATTCATGTAGTCTTGAGACCTTGAGAGAAGGACCCAATGATTCTATGGTTGGACTTCTGACTTACGGAGACAGATAATAAATGTTTATCATCTTAAAAAATTTCTCAATTCTCCCAGCAATGATGTTGGGGACGCATGCGAAGGATTGCCTACCAGGGAAGCTGATTCAGCTGGTGTCTCTAGCTCCTAAAGTCAAAAGGTTACAGTGTTTTCCTAAGCCTCAGGCACACAAAAACAGTCCTAGGCCATAAATTTAATTGTTCACATTAACTCTCTGGTATGGCCTAAGAGCTCAGTTATAAAAACACTCCTACCAGGCAGGGATTCTCCAGGGAATCAGAGGTTTATCTTCTAATCAGTCAGGGCCAGTCCTTTCTTTGGAATGTGTAGCGATGGTGTGACCCAGGCACGCTGAGTTAACACTTTAATGCAAGGTACCCATCCTCTTTTTGTAGGAACACAACACAGTATGTTCCAGCCAGACCATTAGTTGGGGTCTTGATAATTTATTTATTGTATTATTATTTTTAAATTATTGTATCATTTTCCATATGTAAACCTATTTTTGCCCCACCCTGTATATCCTGATTCCCTCCACCTCTTAAATTTCCATTGCTCCTTTAACCAAGTTTCACAGACGGTGGTTGCTTTATTTTATTTATTTATTTTTTAAATATATTTTTATTGATTTCAGAGAGGAAGGGAGACGGAGAGAGAGATAGAAACATCAATGATGAGAGAGAATCATCGATCAGCTGCCTCTTGCACGCCCCCTTCTGGGGATCGAGCCCGCAACCCAGGCATGTGCCCCTGACTAGAATCAAACCCCTAACACTTCAGTCCACAGGCCAACGCTTCAAGTGTCTGTACCTAGAATTATTAAACTTGGATTTCCTACAAATTTAACTCAAATAGCACACTATCCACTTTGAAATAGTATCAGAGCCTACAAGTTAAGAGTTGATTGCCCCTTTACATGCCAAACACAAGTCCTGATTGTCACCTGTGCTTCTGACCAACTGGCTATAGATTGGAAGTTCTCATGAGCCCCTCCTTAGTTCAATTAATTTGGTAGAGCATCTCACAGAACTCAGAGAAATACTTACTTATATTTACCAGTTTGTTATAATGGATACTGACTGTAATAATAAAAGCATAATATGCTAATTAGACCGGACAGCCGAATGACCTTCCAGACATCATTCTGGACGTCCTTCCAGACAAAGCCCTAGCAAGGGGGGCGAGGTTGAGGTGGTTAGGGGCAAGCAGGCAAGCAGTTAGGGGTAATCAGGCAGGCAGGCAGAGTGATTAGGGTTGATCAGGCTGACAGAGTGATTAGGGGTGATTAGGCAGGCAGGCAGAGTGGTTGGGGTGATCAGGAAGTGGTAAGGGGCAATCAGGCAGGCAGGCAGGTGAGTGGTTGGGAGCCAGCAGTCCCGGATTGTGAGAGGGATGTCCTACTACCGGTTTTAAGTCCAATCTCGCAGGGATCAGGTTTAAACTGACAGTCAGACATCCCTTGAGGGGTCCCAGATTGTGAGAGGGTGCAGGCTGGGCTGAGGGACACCCCCCACCCCCCAATGCATGAATTTTGTGCAACAGGCCTCTAGTAGGTATATAATAGAAGGTCTGAACGATTCTTGAAATTGGGAACTTCTGTCCCCTTGCAACCTGGGTAAACCACCCATTGGGCACATGATGTGTTCACTAGCCCAGGATCTGATCGGATCTGGTTAAGAATTTTTAAAACATATTTTTATTGATTTCAGAGAGGAAGGGAGAGAAGCTAGAAACATCAATGATGAGAGGGAATTATCAATCAACTGCCTCCTGCATGCCCCTTACTGGGGATCAAGCCTGCAACGCAGGCATGTGCCCTCCACCGGAATCGAAACTAGGACCCTTCAGTCCACAGGCTGACACTCTATCCACTGAGCAAAACTGGTTAGGGCAGGTTAAGAAATTTTTATACAGGGTATTTGATTATTATAACAGCCAGAAGATCCTTGAGGTTAGGGGAAACCTTGTTCTTGCCCCCAAAGCCCAAATAAACATCTTGGGCTTTATGGGAGGAATCAGTCCACTACCCTTCCTTCCTGTGCCTCCCTAGGAGAATATAACTACCATGTCTTCCAGTGCTTTGACAAAACCTAGATAGGAGGCCTTTTGGCCAGAGGTCTGCAATATCATATTGTTGGAGCCATCATTGTATCACTGGGGGTTGCAGCTTTCTGTCAGTTTGCTGAGGCTAAACCAAGAAAGGTGGCATACATAGATTTCTACAGAAAGTATGATTCTGTGAAAGATTTTGAGTGGGTGAGGAAGACATATCTTTCAAAGTGCAAAGTGATCTTGGAATGCACATAATTTCTTTGCGTTGAATTCCATGGAAGTCTGTCACTGTTCCATGTACCTGAACTATGAAAGATGGATATTTGATCTAAGGAATAGTTTCTTTTGTAAATAAACTATTAAGAAATACTGTGGGGGGGTTAAGTAAAAAGAAAAAACAAAGGAAACCACTACCGTGGGGTCTAGGAAACCTTAAGGACATGCTAGAGAGAAGAAAGGAAGGGGGATAGGAGAGTGAGAGAGAAGGAGAGATTGGTTGCCTTCTGTTTGCTCCTTGACCAGGAATCAAACCCACAACCCAGATATGTGTCCTGACCAGGAATTGAGGCATGCATAGGACGATGTTCAACCAACTGAGCCACTCCGGCTGGGGAAAAAAAATGGTTTTAATAGAGCTTTAATTTTTATGTCCTCCATCCTTTCTCAGAAGTCAGTGGGTAGAGCTGAAAGTCCAATTTACTAATCAATTGGTCTTTGTGGTGACTAGATCCATCCTGAAGCTTTGTAGTATTATTAGTATAAATTCACTGTTATAAAGTGGTTTGTGGGGTTTTTTATGTTTAGCAAAAGATACTATCACTTAGGAAATTATACAGTTTAACAAGCTTATTGTCAAGTACTGTGGACATAGACCAAATTTATTTCTTATTCTACAACACATAGGCTTGTCAGTAAATAATTACTCCACATGAAGGCATTTGTAATGTTTTATTTCAAACTAAGTTTATGAGAGATTACAGAATGATTCACTTTTCTCTTCTGTCCTAGTAGAAGGTACAGTTGGTGATTCTCTGCAGTATCCCTTGCAAAGTCGAAGCATTCAGAGTCTGGAAACATGCTGTGAAAATAGTATGTTTGGAGATATTGTTAATCAGAGCAAAGGTAATTTCCTATTAAAGCAAAATCACAATATGTTTGAGATGCATGAAAAACTTCCAATATCAAAGTTAAGTTTTGAAAACCAAAACAGAAACTGTAACATAAAGAACTTTGTTGAGTTGACAGGAGAGGACACACCCATTCTGCATGCTAACCATGAACAATTTTACACTGAAATTATATTGCCTGTCGGCACCAAACCCATCAATAATAAGTCGCAGGCCATTCAGGAACAGAGAACTTACCACATTGAGAAATTCCACATATGCCCTGAATGTGGAAAAGCCTTCATGAAAATGTCTCAGCTCACTGATCATCAGAGAGTTCATTCTAGAGAAAAACCTAATGGATGCTGTCCATGTAGTAAAGCCTTCTCTAGAAAGTCCAGGCTCACTGCCCATCCAAGAATTCATAATGAACTGAAACAGTATGAATGCACTAAATGTGACAAAACCTTCCTCACGCCATCACAGTTCAGTATACATCAGAAAACTCACATGGGACAGAAATCTTATGTGTGCAGTGAATGTGGTAAAGCATTCATCAAAAAGTCTCGGCTCATTTATCATCAGCGAAGTCATACAGGAGAGAAACCCCATGGGTGCAGTTTATGTGGCAAGAACTTCTCTACGAAGTTTAGTCTCACTACCCATCAAAAAATTCATACAGGAGAGAAACCCCATGGATGCAATCTATGTGGAAAGACCTTCTCTACAAAGTTTTGTCTCACTAAACATCAAAACACTCATACAGGAGAAAAACCCTATGGATGCAGTCTATGTGGGAAGACCTTCTCTACTAAGTTTAGTCTTACTACCCATCAGAAAACTCATACAGGAGAGAAACCTTATACATGCACAGAATGTGGAAAAGGCTTTTCAGTGAAGCGTGGCCTCATCCTACATCAACGAACTCATACTGGAGAGAAACCCTACATATGTAATGAGTGTGGGAAAGACTTCACCTGGAAGAACACTCTAATCAGACATCAGCGAGCACATACAGGAGAGAAGCCCTATGTATGTATTGTATGTGAAAAAGGCTTCACCATGAAGACTGATCTCACTGTACATCGAAGAACTCATACTTTAGAGAAACCGTATGTGTGTAGTGAATGTGGGAAAGGCTTCTCAATGAAGCACTGCCTCATTGTACATCAGCGAATTCATACTGGAGATAAACCTTATGTATGTACTGAGTGTGGGAAATGCTTCCCCTGGATGTGCCCTCTCATCAGACACCAACGGGCACATACAGGAGAGAAACCCTATGTATGCAATGTATGTGGAAAAGGCTTCAGTATGAAGGGGGGTCTCACTGTCCATGAGCAAACTCATACTTCTGAGAAACCATATATGTGTAAAGAATGTGGGAAAGGCTTTACTCAGAAGTACAAACTCAGTGTACATCGGCGCATTCACACGGGGGAGAAACCCTACGTGTGCAGTGAATGTGGAAAAGGCTTCACAGTGAAAAACAAGCTGATTGTACATCAGCGGATTCATACAGAAGGGAAACCTCATATGTTGTAGTGAATGTGGGAAAGGCTTCCTCTTAAGGAGCCCTGCCATCTGACAACAGCAAACATACAGGAGAGAAGCCTTATGTATGTAGCATATGTGGAAATGGCTTCACCATGAAGAGTGATCTCAGTGTACATTGGTGCACTTATATGTAAGAGAAACCTTAAATATTCAATGAATGTGTCAAAGGCTAACCTGAAAAAAGCATGCTCATTGCACCTCTGCAAATTCATATGGAGATAAACTATATGCCATGAATGGACTTCACCATGAAGAATACTCTAAGTATACATTAGCAAATTCATACCACAGAGAAACCATACAAATGCAATGGATGTGGTGAAGGCTTTAGGAAAAAGATATGCCTCGTGCAACATCAGACATTTCACTAAGGAAAGACTTCATGTTCTGAACGTGGGAAATTCTCATTGTGCAAAAATAATCTCATTACCCATCAGAATGAACACAGAAGAGAAACACTATGAATGCAATAAAGATGGGAAAGCCTTCACTACGAAGTCGTTTCAATGTTCATCAAAGAAAACATACAGGAGACAACCCTAGGGATGCAGCGATTATGGTAAAGCTTTTCCCGACTTGTCCTTATCTATATATATAAAGAGCCAGGGGTCATCACATCACAACCAAAGGTTCAACCAACTGGAAGTCAGTGCTGGGTTGCTGTGGTGACCCAGCAACAGCGACCCAGCACTGACTGCCACTACTGTGGATGCCCTGATACAGCAGTGACTGCTGAGGGGGCTGTGGATCACACCCGAAGAGAGGCCTGGAAAGAGAGAGATAGGGTCTGATCTGTAGCCTCTATGGCAGCTTTTGATCAGCACTTCCCCTTCTCTTTTGCTCCGGGCCTGGCCAGCAGCTGGCCTCTTTCTCTTGGCCTCTGCTGGGGCTGCTGATCAGCCCTGCCGTTCTCATCAGTTCCACTGATAGGCTCAGAGACGCTGACTGGCATAGAAACTGACCAGTCAGAACCAGTCTGGGTGAAGTGTGAGGAGCCAATGGCTGCCTAGGAGGTGGAGCTTTTGATGCTGATTGGCATAGAAACTGACCAGTTAGAACCTCATCTGGGTGAACTGCAAAGGCAGAACCTAAGGTGGGGGCTGAGGAGGGGTTTTAAGGGCAACAGCTGTTTGGTGTAAGGTGTAAGAAAGCAGTTCAATTTTTTGATGACCTGTTTGGCAGTATAGTGCATGGCTGGTTATCAGTCCTGATGTAGGTATTATGTATTTTTGTGTGCCAAGAGCACTCCTCCTGATGAAAAAGGCTCCCTCCCCCCATTTAAGCAATCTTATCCTATATAATCTATCTATACTACTAAAAGGGTAATATGCTAATTAGATCGGGTCAACTGGCCATCTTCTGGACATCCGACTTCCTTCTGGACAAAGCCATGGTGGTGGGGGCTGAGGTAGAGGCCGTTAGGGGCGATCAGGCCGACGGGAGGGCAGTTTGATGCGAGCTCAGGCTGGCAGGGGAGGGCTGTTGTGGGCAACCTGGCTGACGGGACGGAAATTGGGAGCGAGATTAGGCAGGCAGGAGAGAGCAGTTAGGGGCAAAATCAGGCCGGTAGGGGAGGGCTGTTGAGGGTGAGATCAGGCCAGCAGGGGAGGGCAGTTGGGGGTTCTCTCCATTTGTGTGAAATTCTTAGCTGTGAAATGGAAATCAGGTTTTGAACCACCCATTATCAAATGGATCCATAATTAAATTAACATTTGCAAGGTGCTGGGAGGGAAGTTGTGGGCAAGATCAGGATGGCAAGGAAGGGCAGTTGGGGACGAGATCAGACTGGCAGGGGAGGGCTGTTGGGGGAGAGATCAGGTTGGCAAGGGAGGGCAGTTAGGTGTAATCCGGCAGGCAGAGGCAGATGGGGGTGAGATCAGGCCGGCAGGGGAGATCAGTTGGGGGCGAGATCAAGCCACAGTTGAGGTCGATCAGGCAGGCAGAAGTGGTTAGGGGCGATCATGCAGGCAGGCAGGTGAGCGGTTAGGAGCCAGGAGTCCCAGATCATGAGAGGGATGTCCAATTGGAGAGGGTGCAGGCTGGGCTGGGGGACTCCCCCCGCCCTCTGCACACATTTCGTACACTGGGCCACTAGTTAAACATAAGAGAATTTACAGGTAGTTGCTTTGTGGGAAACCTGTAGGCCCTCAAGATAATAGCATGCAACGAATAATAGCTCAATACAAAGAATATAGTGCTGTATTTATTGACCAGTTACCTCTTATTTTATATTGATGAAAAAATTTATAAACCTCAGATATAATCAACATTGATGAAAATATTTTAGGACAGTATATGTTTAAAGAGTGTTTTCTGAGGTAAATCCAATGAATGTGACAGAATGAAAAACACTTTAGTTGGAAGTAAAACATCTCATACGTGATCATTAGAGATCAAGAATGAGTGAATATTTTTAAAAAAATATATTTTATTGATTTTTAACAGAGAGGAAGGTAGAAGGATAGAGTTAGAAACATCGATGAGAGAGAAACATTGATCAGCTGCCTCCTGCACACTCCCTACTGGGGATGTGCCCGCAACCAAGGTACCAGCCCTTGACCGGAATCGAACCTGGGACCTTTGATTCCGCAGGCTGACGCTCTATCCACCGGTCAGGGCTGATTTTGTAAGTTTTAAACTGGCAGTTTCTCTCATCATGGATTAAATTTTAATATATACAACACAGGAGTGGTCTGTGCTTAGTTCATGGTGTAATTAACTTTGGAATTTCTTTACTTCGTACTTTGTGTTATTTCAGAATATTTGAAGTACTTGAAAATGAAACTGAGCCTGGCTGGTGTGGGTTAGTTGTTGAGTGTCAACCCATGAACCAAGAGGTCACTGGTTCAAATCCCAGTCAGGGCACATGCCCACATTTTGGGCTGAAACCACAGTAGGGTTTCAATCATTGATGTTTTTATCTCTAGCCCTCTCCCGCTCAATCTAAAGCTCAGTAAAAACGCATTTTTAGAAAATTAAGCAATATATTAATTTTATAAAGACAACAGCACATTTAGATGTGTTTCATCAAGTTTATAAGTAGCATCAAGTGGTTTATAAAATGAAATATTTAAAAAAAAGTATGCATTTTTTATTCAGTTGTAGAGAGGAAGGGAGAGGGAGAGAAAAACATACCTTTTTTTTGTTGTTAATCCTCACCCGAGAATATTTTTCCATTGATTTTTATAGTGGAAGGGTGAGAGGAAAACATCCTTGTGAGAGAGACACAGCAATTGGTTGCCTCTTGCATTTCCCGAACCAGGATAGGAATTGAACCTGCAATTCAGGTATGTGCACTTGACCAGATTCAAACACAAGACCCTTCAGTGGGTAGGCCAGTGCTCTAAAATCTGAGCCACACTGGACAGGATTAGAGGAAAAAACACCCTTGTTAAAAAAATAGGCATTTTTGCCCCAGCTGGTTTGGCTCAGTGGATAGAGCGTAGGCCTGCGGACTGAAGGTTCCCAGGTTCGATTCCCGTCAAGGATATACCTTGGTTGCGGGCACATTCCCAGTAGGGAGTGTGCAGGAACAGCTAAATTGATGTTTCTCTCTCATCAATGTTTCTGACTCTCTATCCCTCTCCCTTTCTCTCTAAAAAAATCAATAAAATATATTTTAAAAAGTAGACATTTTTAAAAAATGTGTTCTTGATTTTAAGAGAGAGAGAGAAATGTCAGTGTGAGAGAAACACATTGATTAGTTGCCTCCTGCACACGCCTTGACCATGGCCTGGGGTGGGGAGGAGCCTGCAACCCAGGTATATGCCATTGACTGGAATTGAACCTGGGACCCTTCAGTCCACAGGCTGACACTCTATCCACTGAGCCAAACTGGCAAGGGCCTGATTGTTAAGAGATGAGAAAATTAACCTCAGCTTTGGCTCTCGTGAAAACTTGGCTACACTGAAATTCTTCTTACAGCAAAGTGTGTGTGTGTGTTTTTCAGTTCATGCCAACTTGGGGAAATACTGGTCAGGTGAGAAAGATAGAGTAAGATGTGAGCAGAACAATTTAGAATTGTAGAAAAATAGCCATAGCAGCAAGTTTCATTCTTTCAACAGTTTTTTAAAAAAATATATTTTTATTGATTTGAGAGAGTAAGGGAGAGAGATATAGAAACATCAATGATGAGAGAGAATCATTGATCAGCTGCCTACTGCACACCCCACATTGGGGATGGAGTCCGCAACCCAGGCATGTGCCCTTGACCGGAATCGAGTCTGGGCTGACTCTTTATCCACTGAGCCAAACCGGTTCAACAGTCTTTTATTAATAATGTCACTGCTTCAGAGGCTGTGTGACACAGCAGTGAATAAAGGAATAGGTTCCCTACCAGGGTTCATCAAAGGCTTTATTAAAAGGGTAGCCAATCACTGAAGAGAAAATATTCCATGTTATAGTAAATTCTTAGGTGACAGGTGATGTGTAAAAACAGGTGGGCAAATGTAGGTTTATAGTTCTAATACAATATTACAAGAATAATCATACAATAATAAACTGTGTTTTGCATACTCACAACTGTAAACTTACTTTTTCCACCCTGTATAAATTGAGCAGCACTCAGGAATGACAAGCATGTGGCTCCTGAAGATTTTAAGAGCACACATTTAAAGGAGGGGTGCCCTGACTGGTTTGGCTTAGCAGGTAGAGTGTTAGCCTGTGCATAGAGGGGTTCCGGGTTCGATTGCAGTCGGGGACACATGCCCTGGTTATGGGCTTGATCCCCAGTGGGGAGTGTGCAGGAGGCAGAAGATCAGTGATTCTCTCATCATTGATGTTTCTATCTCTCCCTTACTCTCTCAAATCAATTAAAAATATATATTCATTTATAAATAAATAACATAAAGGAGGGGAGCAAGGGGATTTGAGTATATTGGGAAGATGTTTCATGGACAAGAAAGAGCTCTCCAGTGTTCCCATACCAGCTGTTCACCAGGAGTGTCAGACTCTGACCATTGTTTCAGTTTCAGGATGTTGGAGATTATTTTTATTTAGAACTGACTTCTATAATTTATGGCAAGTTTAAAAAAATTTTAAACTCTTCTGTTAGATTATTTAGGGTTTTTTGTTTTGTTTTGTTAATATATTTTCATTGATTTTAGAGAGAAAGGGAGGAGGAGAGACATACAGAAACATCAATGATGAGACAGAATTATTGATCAGCTTCCTCCTGCACACTCCACACTGGGTATTAGCCCACAACCCGGGCATGTAACATGACCAGAATCGAACTCTGACCTGGTTCATAGGTTGATGCTCAAACACTGAAACACGCCAGCCAGCAAGAATTATTATTGATTTTAATATTTATTGCACAGATGCATAGTCATAACTACTTTTTATATTTTGTGTGATTTTTTTAAGTTTCTGAGTTATACATGGCTCAACTTTCATTATGAATATAGACTTCATTTACTCTAAATATTGTTTATAAATATGTTCATAGTCTCATCACATTGAAATGTCTAAAACATCATCACACCTGACATGTTAGATATGTCTATAAAGGACAATTTTTTTTCACTATGAGGATTACAATAGCATTTTCTCATGAAGAAAACCACCAATAACAAAAGTCGATTTTTCCACTTTTTAAAAATTTATCTTAGTTGATGTTCAAATTAAAACGAAACAATAGAGTTCCATTTAAAGTTTATATTATGGCTGAAACCGGTTTGGCTCAGTGGATGGAGCGTTGGCCTGCGGACTGAAGGGTCCCAGGTTCGATTCCGGTCAAGGGCATGTACCTGGGTTGTGCCCACTTCCCCAGTGGGGGATGTGCAGGAGGCAGCTGATCGATGTTTCTCTCTCATCGATGTTTCTAACTCTCTATCTCTCTCCTTTCCTCTCTGTAAAAAATCAATAAAATATATTTAAAAAAAATAAAAATAAAGTTTATATTATGCCCTGGCAGGTGTTTCTCAGTGGATTGAGAGTCCTCCCATGGATCAACAGATCCTGGAGTTCCATTCCTGGTCAGGGCACATCCCCAGATTGTGGGCTCAATCCCCAATAGGGGGCGTGCAGGGGACAGCCAAAGGATGTGTCTCTCTCATAGTGTCTGTATCTCTCCCTATCTATCAAAAAAATAAATTTTATGTTATGCATCTTAGTTCTTTTTTATTTCAAAAGTCTGCCCTACATTCCTATGTTATATTTTTCCTATTCATATATGATGGTTTAAGTAGGTCATTTTGGGATAAAATGTTCTAGACTCTAATGCATTCATACCTCTATTATGAGTCGCTGTATTGGGCTCAGGAATCATGTGTTTTCATTTGCACATGCTCAAGCCCCTTCACCAGGAAAAGATAACTTCCTTTAGCCATTTTCAAGATGACTCTTTCATTAGGATAGGAAGCCTCTCCAGAGGCCTATCTCGGTTTTTTCCCCTGGTGGTGAGGTGGGTAAACCCTGGACCCCGGCCTGGGACTAACCCACATTATGCAAAAGCGAAATCTGAAATACCACGCGGCAACCAATGAAGGGTCAGAAAATGCGCTTTCGGTGAAGTACGAGAGGCGGTACTTCCGGTGTCCGCAAGGGAGGCATTTTGTCTGGACTCAGGTTACCGTCGGTACCTTATCGGAGATTCCAGATCGCTAGTTTCTAGTGAAGATTCCCCGAGGGAAAAGCCGGGAGAGCTGTGGTGCACACAGCACACGCGCGGGTGTGAAGATGGACGTGGTAACGCGGGTGACCCGCTCCATGGCGGGGACAGGGACCGCCCTTCCCGCGGATGCCTCTTCTCCCGCCGCTCCCGCCCTGCTACCTCCACTGAGTGCAATGGCCGCATCCGCACTGAGTCGCTGGGCTGAGGTGAGTGCGAGAGCCGGGGCCCTCACCGCCTCCTCACACCGAACAGGGCAGCCCGGGTGCGGGCGCCTGTCCCGTCCTGCAGCTCAGTCCCGCGTGGAGGACCGTGAGGAAGGCGGAGGGGAGAGAGGAGTGTTGTGGCTTCAGAGGACACAGCACGTGCAGGGCAGAGAGGACGGGGGTGACTAGTATCTGAGGTTCCTATGGAGATGTGGGTGGTGATTATTGAAGTAAAGATCAGAGACAAACGGGGAGGACTTCACAATCTCAATCCGGGCTTTCTGGGCTCTGGGATCCATCAGTGGACTGGGTTGACCTGGTCTGGCTGAAATACAAGCTCTCTCGGATAGCATGCCAAGTTCATGGGTGAGTCCAGCGAGATTCAGTGGCATTGGGGCAGGATGGTGGCAGAGCTGAGGGAGTGAACCTGGGACTGAAGATGGGAAGGGGATGAACATTACCCAGTGGTGAGCACATCTGGAGGAAGTGTGAGCTGATGGTCCCGGGACCTGGTGTGAGGATTAAAGGGTGAGGCATAAGCCCAGGTTTGTCTTTGTCCTGGAGGCATGTTCTGGGAGACTGCAGTGGTGTTGCTTGGCAGGAAGGCTGGGGCCCTGCAGGCATCACCCAGAGCTTAGATGGTGTTTCTCTGCTGTCCCCCTTCCCAACCCAGCTGTTCTGCTGAGGGCAATCACAGTGAGTAATGGGACTGTGATGAGAGAGCAGCCTGCACTGGCCTTAGGGCCTGGTGTCCACACTAATATGGTTGCCCTGGAGGAGATTGAGGGTGGGGAACGTGTGTGTAAGGAGTAGGAGTGCAGATTCTCAGAAAGAGAGCTCTGGTTTCAATTGTCTCAATTCTAACAGGTTGGGGTGACCTTTGAGGACATTGCCCTGTACTTCTCCAGGGAGGAATGGAGCCTCCTTGATGAGGGTCAGAGACAGCTGTACCTGAATGTGATGCTGGAGAACTTTGAACTTGTATCCTCCCTGGGTAAGACCCTCACTCTCACGAATGACCTGGACTTGGCTTTGCACTTCCCCAGGCCTCTTTTCTCAGGTGCACTCTGTCCTCACATGTGGACCGTGGGCACTGGGTGATTTCCAGTTTTCCGGGTAGTTGCTGTCCTTTGCTTGCACTGCCGGCTTCTCTCCGTGCAGCCCCTCTACCTGCTGCACTGAACTCATAGGGATGAATATGTGGTTGGTAGTGTGGCAGGGAGCCTAAGGGATTCCACCTTGATTAGCGAGGAAGAGTATTTTTCATATTCCTGTTGGTCATTTGTACATATTTTTGGGTATAATTTTTCTACATCCTTAGCCTGTGTTTTTTGTTGTTAATGTTTTATGTTTTTCTTGATTTTAGAGAGTAAGGGAGAGGAGAGAGAGAAAGAAATATCAATGATGGGAGTGAATCATTCATCACATGCCTCCAGCATGTCCTTCCTAGGAATCTAGTCCATAACCCAGGCTTGTGCTCCAGACTGGAATTGAACCCAGGACCCTTCAGTGTACAGGCCGACACTGTCCACTGAGCAAAGCCAGCTACGGCAGCTTATTTTATTTTTTAAAATAAACTTTTTATGCCTTTTTCTTTTTCCCTTCCTGGTTTTCCTCTGTCTCTGCCCACCTGCCTGTTATTGATTTAAGAGGAAGGGAGAGGGAGAAAGAGATAGAAACATCAATGATGAGGGAGAATCATTGATCGTCTGTCCCCTACTGGGGGGTCAAGCCCACACCCAGGCATGTGCCTTTGGCTGGAATCGAACCTGAAACCGTTCAGTCTGCAGGCTGACGCTCTGTCTACTGAGCCAGACCAGCTGGGGCTGCTGTGTTCTTTAAATTTATGTTTCCTCTTTCTTTCCACCTGAATGATTTCAAATGATGTGTCTTTGACATCACGTATTCTTTCGCGTCTGATTTTGATACTCTTCATTTTATGTTTTCAATTCATTCCTTGTAATTTATCATCTCTGGCATTCGTTTCATTCTTGTTTATGATTTCTGCCTACCTTTATTTTCCTTTTGTACTTTTTTGGTGTTTTTTAAATTTAATATATTTTTATTGACTTAAGGGAAGAAGGGAGAGGGAGGGGGAGATAGAAACATCAATGATGAGAGAGAATCATTGATTGGCTGCCCCCTGCACGCTCCCTGCTAGGGATCAAGCCCGCAAAGCGGACATGTGCCCTTGATCAGAATCGAACCTGGAACCCTTCAGTCTGCAGGCTGACGCTCTATCCACTGAACCAAACCAGCAAGGGCTGATATTTTCCTTTTGTTACTGGGTTGATTTTGGCATTATGTTGGTTTCATTTGTGTTTTCTTGTAGCTCAGAGATGTTTTTAAAAGTAAAAGTAGTTTGGATTCCTTATCAGGTTGTATGTAGATACCATTTTTTTTCTATTGATTACTGGAAAATTATCACGTTTTATTGGTGGTGGTTTTGTTTTCACTATGTATTTTTTTAATTATACCTTTACTAGAGGCCTGGTGAACGGATGCGTACAGCAGTGGGGTCCCTCAGCCTGGCCTAGGCCCACTCGCAATCCGGACTGTGGCCCTACTCCCCGAAGGGTCTGACATCCCCCGAGGGATATAGTGCACGAAGCTACAGGTGGCCACGGAGGAGCCCGAGCTTCTGCTGGGTGTTATGCCGCTCCCACTCATCCCAGCCCCACTCTGCATGTCGCTGCTGCTCAGTTGCACACTGCCACAGGGGCTGGAGAGTTGTGCCACCGCAGCGGTACTCACCAGGCGTTAGCCTGGCGTCTGGCGCCCATCAGTCAGCTGAGCAAGGCTCCTGCCATGAGAGCACATTGACCACCAGGCGTTAGCTGCTGTGTTGAGCATCTGCCCCCTTATGGTCAGTGCATATCATAGCGAATGGTCAAATGGTCATTCGGACATTTGGTTATTTAGGCTTTTATATATTACTAGAGGCCCAGTGCACAAAAATTTGTGCACTCGGGGGGGAAATGGGGGTCCCTCAGCCCAGCCTGCGCCCTCTCGCAGTCTGGGACCCCTCGGGAGATAACGCCCTGCTGGCTTAGGCCTGCTCCCGGGTGGCAGAGGGCAGGCCCAATCCCTAGGTGCAGCCCCTGGTCGGGCTCAGAGCAGGGCCGATTGGGGAGATGGGGCACTGCCCCCTGTCATGCAACTCCTACCCTCAGTCACGCTCAGGATAGGGCCGATTGGGGGGTTGGGGCACCACCGCCTGTCACACTCAAGGCAGGGTTGATGGGGAGGTTGCGGCGCCACCCCCTGTCATGCACAGAGCAGGGCTGATCAGGGGGGTTGGGGCTCCGTACCCTATCATGCACAGAGCAGGGTCGATCAGGGGGTTGGGGAGTTCCCCCCTGTCATGCACAGAGCAGGGCCCATCACGGAGTTGAGGAGCTCCCTCCTGTCACTCATAGAGTAGGGCCGATAGGGGAGTTGGGCACTGTCCCCTGTCACACACAGAGCAGGGCCGATCAGGGGGTTGGGGCGCCGCCACTGTCACACTCAGGGCAGGGCTGATGGGGAGGTTATGGCTCTACTTCACCACAACAGGGCAGGGCCCGTGTGGCGAAGGGTTCGGGGGGGTTGGGGCACCACCCTCTATCACCCACAGAGCAGGTCTGATCAAGGCGTTGGGGTGCCGCCACTCTCAAACTCAGGGCAGGGCCGATGGGGAGGTTATGGCTCTACCCTGTCACACACAGAGCAGGGCTGATCAGGAGGTTGGGGTGCCTTCCCCTGTCACGAACAGAGCAGTGTGGATAGGGAGGTTGTGGCCCCGACCCCTGTCACACACAGAGCCGCAAGGCGATGAGGGGGTTTGGCCGTTGCCCCGTCACGCTGATCCCGGTGCCGGGAGGCCTCGTGGCTCTGCTGATCCCGCTGCTGGGAGGCATATTACCCTTTTACTATATAGGATAGAGGCCTGGTGCATGAGTGGGGCTGGCTGGTTTGCCCTGAAGGGTGTTCTGGATCAGGGTGGGGGTCCCAACTGGGGTGCCTGGCCAGCCTGGGTGAGGGGATGATGACTGTTTGCAGCTGGTCACACACCCTTCAGGGTGGGGGTCCCCACTGGGGTGCCTGGCCAGTCTGGGTGAGGGGCTGAGGTCTGTTTTCAGGCTGATGGGTGACTGAAGCTCCCAACTGCTCCTCTCTTTCTTCTTTTTTTTTTTTATTCTGGGCCAGCTTTAGCTCTGGCTCCAGCTCTGAGGCCTCTGCTGCTGAAAGCAGGTATCTGGTTTGTTTGGGTTCTATAATTGAAACAATGTATAACTCCAGCTCTGAGATCCCAGCGGCTGAAAGCAGGTTTCTGGGGCTTTGTTTAACTTCTATATTTATTACAATGTTTCAAACTGCAAGCTCAGAGGCCAGCAAGGCAGGCAGGGAACGTTGGAGTCCTCCGTCACTGAAGCAAGCAAGCCTCATGTTAGCTTCCAGCTGCCTGGCTGCCAGCCGCCATCTTGGCTGGCAGTTAATTTGCATATCTCCCTGATTAGCCAATGGGAAGGGTAGCAGTTGTACACTAATTACCGTAGTTCTCTTTTATTAGATAGGATTATATAGACTAGACACCCAGTGCACGATATTTGTGCCCTGGGTTCACAGGGGCTTCAGCCTGGCCTGTGATCTCTCGCAGTCCAGGACCCCTTGATCCTTACTGCCCGCCTGCTTGCAGCCCCTTACCGCTCGGCCTGTTGTTCTTTAGCAATGCTGCAGAGGCAGGAGAGGGCCTCTCACCAGCGCTGCTGTGCTCGCCAGGTGTGAGCCCGGCTTCTGGCTCATCAGCGCTCCCCCTGTGGGAGCACACTGACCACCAGGGGGCAGTTCCTTCGTTGACCATCTGCCTCCTAGTGGCCGGTGAGCACCGTAGCGATTGTTCATTCTGGTTGACCCGCCTTAACAGTTCTTAGGCTTTTACTATATAGATTGTTGAAGGTATTACATATGTCCCCTTTACCCCCTATTCACCCCTACTAGCCCTACCACATACCTTCCTGTAGGCCTACACCACCCTATTGTCTGTGTCCATGGGTTATGCATATACGCATACAAGTTCTTTGGTTTTTGTCCTCCCACCCACCTACACCCCAGCACGTTCTCTCTCAGATTGCACGGTCTGTCCCATGCTTCCATCTCTCTGGATCTACCTTGTTAATCAGTTTATTTTGTTTATTAGATTCCACAGATGAGTAAGATCATGTGATACTTATCTTTCTCTGACTGGCTTAGGATAATATTCTCCAGGTCCCTCCATGCTGTCTCAAAGGGCAAGAGGTCCTTCTTTTTCTATTGCTGCATATTATTTCATGGTGTACACGTACCATGGCTTTTTTATCCACTCAGTGACTGATTGGCACTTGGGCTAGTACCAGATCCCACCTAATATAAATTGTGCTGCTATAAGGTAGGACTGCATACATTTTTTTATAATTGGTGTTTTGGGTTTCTTAGTATATATTCCTAGAAGTGGGATCTCTGGATCAAATGGCAGTTCCATGTTTAATTTTTTGAGGAAACTCCATACTGTTCCATAATGGCTTCACCAGTCTGCATTTGCACCAGCAGTGTACTGGGGTTCCCTTTTCTCCACATCCTGCCAGCACTTTCCATTTGTTGATTTTTTCATGATAGCCATTCTACAGGTGTCATTTTATGTGCATCTCATGATGATTAGTAACTCCAAACATTTTTTCATGTCTCTTAGCTGTCCGTATGTCCACTTGGGAGAAGTACCTATTTAGGTCCTTTGCCCATTTTTTTTTTAACATTTAATCACCTTTATTTATTTATTTTTTTGTTAATCTTCACCCGAGGATATTTTTCATTGATTTTTAGAGAGAATGGAAAAGAGATGGAAAGACAGAGAGAAGCAACGATGTGAGAGAAACACATCTATTAGTTGCCTCCTGCAGGAGCCCTGACCAGGAAGGAGCCTGCAACCAAGGTACATGCCCTTGACCGGAATTGAACCTGGGACCCTTCAGTCCGCAGGACAACGCTCTATCCACTGAGCCAAACTGGTTTTGGCTAAATATTTTTTTAAAAAATATATATTTATTGATTTCAGAGAGGAAGGGAGAGGAAGAGAGAGATAGAAACATCAGTGATGAGAGAGGATCATTGATTGGCTGCCTCCTGACCACCCCCTACTCGGGATCCAGCCCGCAACCCGGGCAAGTGGTCTAGACTGAAATCGAACCCAGTACCCTTCAGTCTGCAAGCCGACATTCTATCCTCTGAGCCAAATCTGTCAGGGCAGCCTTTTTTCGGTCTGGAAAGTTCTTTATTTCACCATCTATTTTTTTTTTTAATTTTTTATTACAAAGGGTATTACATATGTGTCCATTTCCCCGCCCCGACACCATCTATTTTGAATGATGGCTCTTCAGTAGAATTCTCTTGTTCTTTCTTTGGGGGTTGTGTTTTTGTTTCCCCATTTTGGCTGCCTGTTTGCATTTGGGTAGATCTGCTACACTTCTGATCTCTAGTGTAGGACAATGTCAGACACTCCTTGCGATTGGAACCGTGTACCCAGTTATGAGCTCTCAGCAATCCATAGCTTTTGGATCCCTCTACTGTGGCAGGTTCCTTTGGAAAGGACCAAGATGTGCACCAGGTCTGCTTTTCCTATTGCTGGCCCAGAAGGAGATCAGGCAAAGACTCAAAGCCTCCAGGACCCACCTCAGCCTGCAGTCTGATTGTTGTCATCCTTGATAACCTTCAGGCTATTGACCGAGAGTGGGGCCAGACATGTTCTAACAGGGTGTGACAATTGGCTTCCCCCAGGCAAAAACTGCCTGGATGGCAAAGGTCCACAGCAGAAAGATGTCCTCCATATCACGAGGAAATGACTTAGCACAGGATACTAGGGTGGCTGCCCTCAGAGTTCCAACCCCAGAGACCCCAGTCCAGGACTCTCCTCACACAGTTTCAGTCCACTCTGCCCTCCGTAAGCCAGAGCCCATGGTGAGTGGATGCACAGGAAATTTTGTGCATTTAAGAGGGTGCCTGCGTTTCTAGCCGTCTCGCTGCCAGACTATAACCCTGCCGCTTTTCATATCCATATGTTTTGCAGCCACCCCTCTCAGTTCTCGTACTCTGGGCTTGGGATCTCAGCTTGGGATTCAGACACCAGAGTTCTTAGTGGGAACAGCCCACAGCCAAAATATCCCTCCAAAATTCAACTGTTGTCTGTGGGAACCCAGCCATCTCTTTTGTGCTTCAGCACTGCCTACCAGTCTGTATGCAATCTCCACTTCCCGTTCTTTGTTATCAGGGTTCTCTCCAGCTAGTGCTCAGCTGTTTTTCAGGATGGTTGTCCTGCATTTTAGTTGTCTTACCAGCTTGGTCTTGAGAGCTTGTCAGTGTGCCTTCCACTTATTCCATTGCCATTTTTTCTCCCCTTTAGTATTTCTTTTATTACTGTACTAGGGGCCTGGTGCACTAAATTCATGCAAGGGGGGTGGGTTCCTCACCCCGACCTGCACCCTCTCCAATCTGGGAGCACTCATGGGTGCCCTTTTCAATCCAGGAGTTTCTGTCTGTCTTTGTAATCATATGAGCAAATTGTCTGAGACCCCAACCCAGTTTAGTTTGGTGCTCACAGAATAATACAGGTCTTTTTTA